AAAAAAAAAAAAAAAACGATCGTAAATTCGATTAGATACGACGTTGGTCTCGTTTGTTGGAAGAATTTAGCGCAAAAAACTAATTGATTATTCAATGAGCACGTGGAATAAGGGCGCTTCGATCAATCGGGGCCAAAACCCGTTGAAATATAGCGGGGGAATCTGTCAGAATTCGCCGCGTTTGAATACGGATTAGCGGCGCGTGTTGAACCTATTATATTTCCAAACCTATCCTATGCCCAAACACGGCGCGGTAAAGAGTTCCGCGAACGGTTTGCGAAACTCACAGCTTCTCATTATCATAACCACATTTACGGTGTCCTAAATCGAAAATTCATCGCTCAGCTGACCCTGCGTAACCCATGAAACGCAAGGGAATAACTCTTTACTACTCGTAGAGAATTTTATTGCCAACACGTGAATCCTCATTGTCTTTTTTTTTTTTTTTTTCCTTTTTTCCTTTCTTTTTTCTTTTCTTTCCTTTTTTTTTTTTTTTTTTTTTTTTTTCCTACCCCACGAATCGTAATAACTCTTCACGCACGACGAGAAGAGAAGAGAATTCGAAATCAGAAACGAATTCCTCGGAAATTCCACGGATTCCAACGATATCCAACGATGTGGATAATCGATAAGATATTTGACGTATCGCAGCAAATATTGGAATATTGGAAGATCATCTCTGTCAATTAACTCGCATTGTTATCTATCTCCCCTATTTCCAGAAGAACCGCAATAAAACGTCTTTAAACCGTAGGACAGCTACGTCGATGACAGCTCGTTCCGCTTAATCGGTGCGGTTTCCAGAGCGGGCCAAGTTGTTTCATTGATCGTTCCGTTTCCCGCGAGAGTAACGCGTTCCCATTGATCGAACGGACAGGCGCCGATCCCTTCTTATCTGCCCTAATAATTTCCAAGCTTAGCCTATGCTATATCATATTATTGCCGAACCGGGGGGCCCCCCTCGACACGCACGATACGAAGAAGCAATAGAGATCTCGATTTCTTTAAACAGTTGCAATCGTTATCCCCGTTTCGAGGGCAATATGCAACCCGGTTTAACGAGCTTTGCATCAATACGCGCGCCGATTACTTGCCGCCAACGGCTGCTACCGATTTTATTGCGGCGAGCAGCGATAGCGAACTGTGAAATAGCCGCCGCACGCGTGCACGTTGGCGGACGTTGCCTCGGACTCCTCTCTTTCCCCTCCTCCAATATTTTATCGATCCGTGTGCAATTTGTAAAAAGAGAAATTTGAAAAAAGAAGGATAAATTTTGGAAATCGAAACGCGTCGAAACGGGACATTTGGAAGAATAATACGAATAATAGTGGGAAGGAAGGAGAGGAAAAGGTTTGTGACTCGTTGGTTTTTTCGTTTCTTTTTTTTTTTTTTTTTTTTTTTTTTTTTTNNTTTTTTTTTTTTTTTTTTTTTTTTTTTGAAAGGAAGTTGATTCGATCAGGACGAGGAGTTAAAACGAAGGGGCGAATGCGATCGATACATCCTTCGATCCCTGTTAAAATATTTGAAATTTCTTCCCACGAGAATGGCGACGCGTCAACTTGAGCATTAATCAAGAACGTTTTGCTACTTATCGAGTTGTACTCACCACAAGCACCACGTGTTGGTTCCGCGTTGGAGATAAATTCTCCTGAATGCCTGCTTCTTCCTTCTCCTCTTCTTACACCGTGTTAACATTCCCTGGCTGATGCCTGGAAACGGTAAGAATGAAATAGTTCATTAGCCGGCGAGCATTGGCCACAATCGCGAGTCGACAAGCCGGAAAAAGAGAAAATACCGTCTATTAAGCGATATCCGCGAGCGGATATTATCTACTCGTTAGCGGTTTCAGGAAAAAGCTTTATCGAGCTTCTTCTTCTTATCGACGAGGAAAATCTTCCATCTAGGAAGAAATCTAGGAGGAAAATTCGTTTCGCTCAACGCGTGTTCTTTATATGTCGTGTACGAACTCGGATCGACTTAATTAACATCTCTTATCTGATCTTACGAAATAATTACGATTAATAATTTATTCGAGCTGCGAGAGGAAAAATTGTAAACCGTGTCACCGCACCGCGAGACATTGACCTTTGCTCCCTTTGCTAAGGATCCAGATCCAAGATATTATATATATATATATTATAAATTGCAGATAGGATTGGAAAACAGAACGGCTTGTACAGAAGTTGTGATTATTAAATGAATTATATTAATATCTCGCGGTATTAATAAAACGGTATATTTATATAAATCTTAGGAGGAAAGGAAATAAAATATATTTATAAGAGTAGATCTAACTTTGGGTTAATTGGAACAATATCGAGTAAAAAAAATGTTCTAGTTGTATTCAAAGATCCCTCGAGATAAAGAATTCTCTTCTTATCAACGAACGCGGAACGAAAATCCAGCTTTGATGACACAGTTAATTTGCGTAATAGCTCGGTAAATATATTATAATTGAGAGATTATTTTGTTACATAATTAATCCTCTCCGATATTCGAAATTTCCATTTTACACATTTGGAAACTAAACTATCCTTAATACCCTCTCTCTCCTAATTTAATTTGACTTCTCATCCGTCTCCGTCTCTCTTTCGAATATCAAATCTAGAAAGCTTCTTTATCTTAGAATCATCGTCAACTCGTAAATCAGAGGGCCGAAATTTCACGGAAATTAGAAACGTGACACACGTGGAGAATTCGTTTTCGAATCGGCGCGGATCGAAACGAGTAATGATATTCGGCTGTCAACTATTAATCGTCCACGAGGGGAGAAGAAAAGAAAAGAAAAGAAGAGAAGAGAAAAAAAAAAATGATAAAAAAATGTGTCGAAAGCGATGACATGGGTTATTTCGCGTCGCCACGTGGAGAGAAGGAAAAGAAAAAAAAAAAAAAAAAAAGAGAGCAACGACGCGACGTGTACGTGCGAATCTCATCCGCACGTTGAAGGGAACGAACGAAATGCTTTCGACCGGTATCTTAACAAGGTCGTATCCGAGACCTCCGATTTCAAGTACGACAAAAAATTGGCCGACGTGCAAAGAGGATTATTAATAGGTGTACAGCGATTAATTACCGTTGAAAGAAACGCGTACAAGATTTGAGAAATTAATTTTTCAAGAAAAGTAATATAGGATTAATGTTTTTTTCTTTTTTTTTTTTTTTTTTTTTTTTTTTGATCCGTGTAGAGTATTTATTGTATATTTATATATTTGTATAGTTTTTATATAGCTAATTCGTTCGCGTTAATCCGCGAATTAACGTTGAAGGAGGGATGATGATTTATCGGGATGTATAGTATTTACACGATACTTTGATTTTATTCAGAAGAAATAAATATCCATCGATCTTTTCCTTTTGACACGAACACTGTCATTAATATCTCTTTGAATTGACGCGTACATATTCCTTTCTTCGCGATACTTCAATATCCCGATTAAAGTGTGTAAATATATAGAAGTTGCAGCTACATATTTCATTGCTACATTATTTAGTATTGAATATTTTATGCGTGGTTGCCAACGTATATTACCAATTCGCTACATATATATGTATATATTATATATGTATATATATATAAATTAAAATATCATTTTCCATTTCGAAAAGAGTCATTACTCTTAATAAAACGAGTAATTTATTCGCGCGTGTTAATGTTTTATTTGCGAATAGAAACGAATCGATGCTGATGATGTTAATTTATTAAATCGTAGCGATCTTTTCATTTTATCTTCTCCGTTTTATTTATAACTAGTTTCAGAAACAAACGTCCAACATATTTTCTACTTTACGCGTTGTATAATCGCTTAAATTAACGATACAAACTGCCTGCATAATATATCGCATCGCGAAAACGTTAACATCGAACGAAAACACGGTCGGCGTCACTTTTCGAAATTATCGACGTTCGATAAAGCAGCACGTCCGTCTCGAAACGAATTGATCCGAATTTAATAACGTTGAACGATCGTTTAAGAAGAAGAGAAAGAATTCGTACGAGATGTTTCGTGTAAATAATAAAACGAGATGCAAATTTATAGAAAATTCGTTCGCAAGGATTTTATCACATCGATGTCAATCTCGAACTAATATAACGCTCGCCAATTCATCAAGGTTAATATAAAAAGGGATGCGTTGCTCGGTTTTTCACCCGTACGGGTTACGAGAGTTTGAAACAGGACACTAAGTAAGCACATTCTTCTATCCCGGTTCGCGCGAATAAAACTTCTCCCGCGAAATGTTTTGCTTTGCGAGAAATCATGTGAATAGTCCTTTCATCGAGTGAATGAACCGATTGTGGGGCAAAAGTAGTTTTTGACTCGATAGGATGTTATTTTTCTATGGGGAGGAAAAAGCCGATTTATAAATTCATACGAGCTCCTCTCGTAAACGTGGAAATCGAGTTTTTAATACTCTTTGAAATTAATCGTTGCTTGCGATAATTAATTCGACGATATACATATATATATATATATATGTACAATTAATTAATCTTGACATGAAGATTGCATTCGGTTCGATTGCACTTCGAAGAGAAGTAATTAAAAGTTGAATTAATCGTCAACGATGAATTAAAATACAATTCTGATATGGGAGAAGCGGTGTATCGGTAAAAAAAAAAAAAAAAAAAAAAAAATATTGGAAAATGATACATGCGGTTTATAACTATCGATCGCGTAAATGATAAACGATACTCTACGTAGTACAATAAGATTCGCTTCTACACCGGTCGGTATAATTGCTTTACAACAAGGATTAATCATATAATATATATTTTATGATTAACGAAAGAAAACAGTTTATTTTGATATATCTTGCTCACTAATCTCAATTTTTGAAGGATGGAATTTAAAATATGGAATTATAAATACGAGAGGTGTATATATATATATATATGTGCGTAGATGATATTAGGTAACAGAAACGACTAGAAAGCGTCGCCATTAAATATGTAATAGTGCATTATTTTATCGGATGAAAAACTCACACTGCTTTATTTAATGAGTAATTTAACCCTATCAGATCTTAGAGCGGCAATCGGAACCGGTTGATCACGATCGATTGACCAACCGAGATACACAGTCACGTAGCTGTGGGGTACATCGATTCGATGTGACAACGGATCGATTATAAAAATCACCTGTAATAATCCTAATATTAAAATTACTCGGGGGAAAAAAATTTTTCGGGGAAGAGACAACAGAGATATTAAATCTGTTAATGAATCGCTTAATATTAATAAACCGGTTATTTTTTTTTTTTTACAACCCCCCCAACTTGAAACTTTGAACCCACGATTCATCGATTCTATGAGTATCAATAAGATTCATTAAAGATGATGATTGGGCTCATAACAACGCTATTTGTCTCTATCTATCATCTATTATGAAATTTTTTTCTTAATTCAACTAGCTGAAACGGGTTTCGAACGTGTTGGTTCGCCTACCCTCCTCTTTTGCCACGCGAATTATTATAAATATGCCTACGATTTGATTACGACACAACAACTCGTATACAACTTCGTATAACCGCCACATTTGCGCACCCGCGCGCGAGTTCGTCGCGCGAGAAAATAACCGTCCATGCGATATTATTTTTTTTTTCTTTTAATTAACCATTTCTCAACGCGGAGCGATCCCCCCCCGATTTCGGTCATTTCCACACTCCGGTTTTGAACTTGGATGGAAGAAAAAAAAAAAAAAAAATTACATTCAATTTTACGATCCCCAGTCACGAACATGTTGCAATTTATTCTGGAATCATAGATATCAAATAACAACCCGAGAAAAAAAAAAAAAAAAGAAAAACACACATACTTTTTCAGTAAAAAGAAAAAGAAAAAAAAAAAAAGAAGTATAGGAGGCGAGAAGTATATAGGATGAACGACGAGCGCACGGTTGCATGTAATTATGCGCGGCAATTAGATACTTTGAGGAATGTAATCCTCAACTTTTCTCTCTCGATCCTATCCCACCAAAAGAATATCCCATCCATCATTGTACCTACTGCTCGCGGTGGAACCACTCGAGAGACTTTCACGCAGCGTGAACAGAGGCTGGAGATCAAGATTCTTGTCGAGATCTATCCAGACGGGCGCACGCATCAGAGTGTTCTTAAGTGGCTCTTGACCTCGCACTTCTATAACTTTACGATATAATATATGCACGCGGAGGACTCGTGGTCTCTTTTTTTTTTCTCTCTCTCTCTCTCTCTTTCTTCCTTTCTTTCTTTTCCTTTTTCTTTTTTTTTTTTTTTTTGTTTTTTGTAAATGATAACGTCACCCTTTCGAATTTCGACGCGGCTGTAAAAACGAAACGTTAATCGCGCATCCGTGTAAAACGAAAAATTGGAGCGAAACAAGGTGCTCGAGACGAGAAATGGCGGCCACTAGAGTCTGCAGGATTTACCGTGATGTTTGTCTGATCTTGAAACAGGTCGAACGAATATGTATGCGCGTGACTCGAGTTTTATAAAGAGAGAATCGTCGATGCACAGAGAGAGAGAGAAAGAGAGAGAGAGGGAGAGAGCAAAAGAGCGATTTGTAATTTTAATTTCGAAACGGCGTTATATTGTATTTGATGATCTTTTTCTGTAGCTATCGCTGGATGGAAAAACTGTGGAAATGATACGTCGTTCATTAAGAGAGAGAGAGAGAGAGAGAGAGAAAGAGAAAAAAGAGTAAATTAATAATGCAATAATAGAAACGTCAGAA